GAGTGGGCCTAGCTCTCAGAATCTTTCCCTTAAATTAAGCCAACATCTGGAAGACACATGGAGAAAGATCATTAAATTATTATTATTATTATTATTTTTGCCATAATCAGGAAAAGGAGTAAAGCAAGGATCATTCTCCCAGAATTTTTCTCAGGCTCCTGGACAATCTTCTCAATCTAAGGACAATATTTTTCTTTCATTTTAATTTCAACCAAAGAAATCACATGGTTAAAATAATAACCTCCTGCCACACACCTCCATATACTGAGTCCTCCTCTCAAGAGGAACCACTCTTACCCATGTCCATTTATGTTTCTTTTGATGATTATTTCCATATCTCTAGAAAATATACTGATACTACTACTTCTTGATTTATCAGATTTAGACATTATCTCACTGAATTCCTTCCATGATAGACAAGAATTGAACTCACCTATATGAAGGCCCCCTCCCACCATCCACCTTCCTAATTTTGACAGGCAAATCGTTACTCTCAGCTCCTCTGCTGCACTGGTTCTCAAATATTAGCTGCATCAGAATTACCTGATCAGCTTGTTAGAACTCAGATTGCTGGGACCCACCCATGAGTTTCTGATTAAAGAGTCCGGGGTGGGGTCCAAGAATTTTCATTTCTGACAACATCCCAAGGGAGTTTGATGCTGCTGGTTCAGCGACCACACTTTAAGAAGCACTGCTCTACTGGTAACCTCTGCAATTTTAAGTAATCACAACTTTTTCTTGTTTCATCAAGTTTTACAGTATCTCTTGGCTCACCAATTTAAAAGATTAAGACATTAAAACAACTTGTTTTGTTCTATTTTAAACTCTATACAGTAAAATTAAAGACATTTACACTATGTACTGTAACCATAACTGATTTGGCTTGACTGTAAATACTAACAACCAATAAATCATGTTGTCAATATGGCCTCTTGATTACTGTTCACAGAAGAGCCAAGACAAGTGTCATGATTACATATCTTCCTCTACAGGTGCAAAGTTAAACTACTAGAATACTCAACTTTTGCTTAAGGGAGAATGCTTCTAGTATTAAGGTCCTTCTCTTCCATATATTCTTCTATTTGCTTAAAATCCCACCACATTTTAATTTGTCTTATATTTGAACCATGACATATTGGCCATGTTTTTATTTTCCTGGGAATTTTTGACTGCCTTTATTTTTTCTTAACCATAGAAAAAATATATTCCATCTACACTGTATCCTGAATATTTGCTACTCTCTTGTCATTCTGCTATGGCTGGCTTCATTCTTCTCAAAGTTCATTGATCCCCTGTTCTAAACTGATCAACTGTGTTTTAGACTTGCTGCACAGTTGTAATCCTGGAATTTCTTGTCATTAGACTTCTAGGAGTTAGTTCTTACATCCCCCATATTGCTCCTTCTAATTGTCACCCTTGTTTTCTTGGAGTGCATCTCAGGTGATTTCCTTGGAAAGGCTACTAGGGATGTAAACTTTCTGCGTCCTTGCTTGTCTGAAAAATAACTTTATTTTGACCTCATACTTGACTGTTAGGCTAAGTATAAAATCCTAGTTTCAAAATCACTTTCTCTCAGAGCTTTGAAGCCCTTATTTCACATATGCTTTCTTCCAATCTTGCTAATAATTAGTCTTATGGACAACTTAGTGTGACTCTAATTATGTCGTTAGTGGACAAATATTCCTCACTACCACCATTCTGTACTCCTTGTCCTGGAAGCATTTAGAATTTTCCTTATGTGTTAGGAGTATTACCATTTCAAAATGATGTATCTAGGATATTTTTGGTTTATCCTGCTTGCAAGTCTGTGGGTCCTTTAAATTTAAAAAAGTGTCTCTCTGTAACTCTGGGAAATTTTATTACATTATCTCTCATAATGTTTTTCATTTTCTCTGTTTGCTTTTTCTGATATTCCTATTACTTGGATATAGGACCTTGCAGATTGATGCTTTAGCTCTTTTCTATTTGTCTTTTAGCTCTGCTTACTGGGAGATTTCTTATCATTATCTTCTACTACATTTTTGGCTCTGCATCCATATTGTTAATTTTCAAGAAACTTTTCCTTGTTCTTTCTTTCTTTTAAGAAGAAATAGAATTCCAATCACTTTCTAATGGATAGAATATATTCTTAAATCTCCTTGTGTTTATTACATAGAGTATAAATTGGTATTTAAGTTGTTATAATCTCTTCTATTCCTTAAAGAATTTATTTCCTTCTAAGTCAGTTATTCTGTAGGTGTATTTTGGTTTTTTTCTCCATGTACCACATTTCCCCTCAATTTCAGATTTCCTTGGTTGTCCATTCATTTTTAAGAATAAAGTAAAAGAGCTGATTGGAAAATCTGGGTGTTTGGGTGGATGGTGGGAGGGGAAGCTAGCTCTTACATTGGAGGCTCCAAATGCCAGAAGAAATAAGGCTTCCCCCTGGGGAAACAGCCCACCTACACTATCTCAACCAGTTTATTCAATTCTTTAGAAAATAAAAGGCCTGGCTTCTTGCTATTCTGCATGGCTGGAGTATGTAGGTGTGGGGACAGGGTCAGAAAGTCAACTCTTCCACAAACGAACCTTCACTTAACATCCCCCTTCCCTGTTTCCAGCCCCATTTCTCACTCCTGAACCCCTCTGAAACTGCTGGCCTGACCGTGGCTACAGCCTTTCTGGACCCATGGGTGGACAGGCACCCAGCCCCTCCGCGTAGAGTGCAATGTTCACCCACCAACACTCTTCCTTCTTTACTCATTCCAAAAATCCCTGGACTCTCTCATTGGCTGATGCCCCTTCCCCAACAGCATTTATCTCCCTGTTCTGATTTACTCATTTATAATCACTATAATAGGGTCTCAGGAAGCACAGACATAAATATTTATGCTTGCTTGGCCATCTTGAACATAAGTGACCAAGAAGAGCATTTTCGTACTAATCTGTCCCTACATCTCTGCCTTTGATCAGGTTGCCTCAATCTAAAAATGCTAGTAAAGGTTCTAAGATGCTCTTCACTAAAGAAGGCCCACTTTGTGCCACTGATGGATTGGTAGAAATGAGAGTTGGGTTCATTGTAGAAGGGATGCCCAGGGCTAGCAAGATGCTCAACAGAGGAGGCCGCTACCTCACAGGGTCATTTCAGAGGTAAAACAAGCACAGGGTACCCTGAAATGATTCCCAGCACCCCAAGTTTGGACCACTCCCATAACCGAACTTTATTGGGCCAGCAAGATTCCACCTTAGAGAGCAAAGTATTAATAGGACGGGGAACTCATGATCTAGGAATTATCATAATATTCTGGTTTACTGGGTCCCCAGCCTGACCTCTTGGCCCAACTTCACTGTCAGGAGATGATACACACTTCTACTCCTCAGTCAAGGTAGGAGTCATCAGCTTCCTGTCCCGCCTCTTCATCTTATCTTCCTGTCTTCATCTTCCTCATGCCTCCCCTCTACCCTGCCCCACCACTTAGACACCCAGCATCCTCCTGGTCTCTCCCCTCACTCCCCCAGAGCCTTCTCCAAGTATCAGTGACCGGCTGGACATTCTGGCCACCCTACAGGTCACTTGTGTTTTGAAAGTTCATGTTTGACTTCAAAAGAAGCATCCAAAAAGGCAGTGTTGCCAGTAGGTTGTGTGTATACTTCTGCCCACATCCCTTTACAACTGCTGCCCCTCCCCCAGCTGATGTGCTACAGGCGGCTAACGGCTCACATCTGCAGCCTCCTCCAGAGAACTGTCCACAGCAGGGAGTCTCCTTCAAGGAGGGCTACACTCCCCTTCCATCCCCCACAGCCAGCCAATGGCTGACGAGTAAGGGGTACAAAAGGCCAGACCCTTCCCTCAAGGAGAGGATGGCTCTTTGCTGTAATTTATGCTCCAAAGCTCCCTGCCTCAGGCCAAAGCTAGACTTTAGCTGAGACCACATACTTGCTCACTCTTTCCCCATTCCTTACAGGGTTCTCTTAAGAGCATAGCTTCATTAGACCAAGTTGCTCCTAAATCCCCGTCTTAGGCTCTGTTTCTGGGGAACCTGACCCAAGACCACATGGGAGAGACTTTGGGAGAAAATGAGGACATCTTGGTAAAAATCTTACATCTCGAACTCCAAACACTTCTCTGTGGTTCTATTTACAACTCTCATCTGCAAGGCGTGGGTCACTGATCTGCTAGTTTTCCCATAAGCTCAGGGCAGTCAGAACTGTGGAGCCTGGGGCTGGTGGGTGGTTCCACAGCTTTGCCCCACCCCACCCAGGAGTCTGGTTTAGCCAAAAAACAGTTTTGTCTGACCTTCCCCAGGTCCTGGATCTGTGATGATCTTGGGTGTTAAAGATTTAGAACCAGACTTGGGATCCCAGATTTCTTACATATTTCCTGCATCGTCATCAGCACTGTATATCTCTCAGATGACTCGGGGCAGACAGGCCAGTGATGCTGCACAGCGTTAGCTCATGGCTCACTCCTACCCTGTATGGCCTCGTACGGCCTGCACCCCACGTCACCCTGCAGCTCCTCCACACAGCAGCACAGTCCGGAATCTGCCGAGTCGGGGAGGGTGGTGAGAGCCTGTGCTCACAGTGCTCTGCCTTCCAAAGATCCTGAGCGGGGCATTCTCAGCTCAACCACCAATTCTAGCAAGAGGAAGTTCTTGCCTCTTCACCCCACTCATACTCCCATCAATAAAACATGTACTGTGTGTAGAGCACTCACTAGGTGCTGATCTGAGCTCTGGAAACAGTGTAGGAACAGGAGGCAAGTGCCGGGGCCAAGCAGCCAGCTCATGACCTCAAAGAGATCATCATTTTCTAATTGCTTGAGAATAGCCTCGATGAGTTTAAATCACGTGGTTGTTAGACACAAACCCCTAAATCATACATTTCATCATTTTGCAGATCGGGAAAGGGAGGCCCAGGAGGGGGTGTGGCTGGCCATGGGCTCCCAGGCCACCAGGGTCATTACTTCTGCATAGGCACCTGCCACCTGGGGTCCCAGCCGTGAGCTTTCAGGTTCTCACCTGATTCTTCTGGGCAATCTTTTGTCCCTTTTTCCAGCGGAGCACGGGGGTCAGGGCCGGCAGCTCCCTCTCCTCCTCTCCCATCACATGCTCACCCAGGCTGTAGGCGGCCTCAAACACGATGGGGCTGATGACGTCCTGCACTCTCCGCTGAAACAATAAACACACAGGCACGTGAGCGGCGGGCGCTGCTGACATGTGCAGAGCATTTCAACAGTTTACAAAGACCTTCCACATGGACTGCCCCGTGTGAGCCTCACAGCCACCCTTGTGTGGCTGGATTTTATTGCTTTCATATTTTAGATGAGGTAATGAGGCCGAGAGTGATGACTGTCCTGTCCAAGGTCACTCCGCTAATGAGCGGGGGCTTTCCCCGCTCTACCTCCCATGGTACGAAATCATCATCTCTTTAGCATGTGGAAGACATTACCTTAGTCATCTTCCAAATATTCTTATAACCTAGTTGGCAGGCAGGCAAGCATCTGTACTCATAGTGCACTGCTAACCTTCCCATCCGTGGTGTTTTGATCATCAAAGCTCTTCTGCCTTGAGGTAAATATGGACTGTGTGTTAGGGCAGGAGACCTGAAGACACTGGGGCCTGGCATCTTCCCAGAGCTGGGCATCAATGGAGCCAGGGATGAACTCCGGCTTCTGGCCTGTGTTCTTTCCTTTGGAGCCCAGGACTTTAAGAGCCAAGGGAGTGATAGGTCCATAGTCACAATGAACACCTACAAGATGCCAGGCACTGCACTAGGTTTTCTAGAGCAGGGGTCCCCAACCCCTGGGCCGTGGACTGATATCAGTCCATGGCCTGTTAGGACCTGGCCACACAGCAAGAGGTGAGCAGTGGGCGGAGCTTCATCTGCTGCTCCCCACTGCTCACATTACCGCCTGAACCATCCCTGCGCATCACCCCCGTCCGTGGAAAAACTGTTTTCCATGAAACCAGTCCCTGGTGCCAAAAAGGTTGGGGACTGCTGTTCTACAGAGACAAGCCACACGTTCAAACCCTGCAGCTGGGCTTATTCCCCACCATCGTATAATAAAAGGAAGATGAAGGCACAAGTTCCCCAGGCCACAAGGCTGAAAGGATTCTGAGTCACATCTGCTCAATCCTGGAGTTCTTGACCTTTCTGGCCCAGGTCTCACTGCCTCCTGGGTACTCTGGCCACCCCCTGGGGCTCAAAAGTTAGAGTTTAAGGAAGGAATAAAGCATCAGTATCCCTGCATCCCAGGCCAGCATGCTCTATGGAAGGTGGGCTTCCAAGGAGAGCAGGGTAAATCTCAGAAGTAGCACCAACGAGTCACTGCCTGCAGCCCCACTGCCTGCATCTGTCAGGAAGAGATGACGGGATGCTCAACAGAGGAGGCCACTACCTCACAGGGAGCTGGCAAGGAGGCAGGAGTGGGAGGCGCTAGGTGGGCAGGCAGAGGCCAACCAACCCCAAGGCCGTGAGCAGATCCAAGGACTTCACACTACGCTCCACATAAAGTCTGGTGGAGTTGGGAGCAGACTAGTGCTGTGTTCAAAACAGTAGAAAGTTTTAAAGTTCCCAAGAGGCACACAGTGAGGAGCTGGCTCTTACCCCACACCCTGGATACCCAGCGCCCCCTCCAGAGACAGACACGCCTGTCAGTTCCGGTTTATCCATCCAGTCTAAGCACATGTGGGGAACTGGTGGCTTACAGCAAGCTGCACTTTGCCTTCCTCACTCAGCATGTACCAGTTCACCAGGGGGAGGTTAATGAAAGGGTCTGTGATCAAACAAGCTGGGGGGATACCAGGTTACACAGGTAAAGGGGTGTTTAGCCTCTTTTGTTTATTGTTTGTTTTTACTGCAACTGCCTCCCACAAAGAGTAGGATGGCCCCAGGTCTACCAGGGCGCAGGACCCTGTGTTTCCCTGGAGATCCTTGGGGCATGTACGTGGAGTGGAACATGCTCAGAGACACAGAAAATCTCCTGCAGCAGCCCAGGAAAGGAGATGGTGCCCAGGCCGGGGCGGGGAGGCAGACGGAGCTGCTGAATGTGGGCTGCGGGGGACAGATGACTCTGGGGTGGGAGCCTGAGTGACATACTCAGGAAAGCATTCAGCTGGGAATAGATTCAATCATTTATGTAAATAAAACACAGAACCTTTTGGGGGAGTGACAGGGGAGCCTCTGGATAAGCTACTTCCACAAAATTCTCTAGAACTTCACATTTCAGGAGCAGATCTTTAATGCTCCTGTCCTTTCTGTGAGCAAAGCACACACCTGGGATCCAGATCCCCTCCGCCTACTGACCGACTCTCCTAAACAGAATGTAAATACTGCATGGGCACAGAGAACAGTGAAGGAGTGCAATCTTAATGTTTTCACAGATAAATGCTTCAGTGTTTCTTTAAGGGTGACTGCCTTAAGATTTTGCATTTAAATCCTTCATGCCGAAATAAGTCAGTTATTACACGCTGTTACTCTTGTGGGAGGAACTGAAGATGGGGGTGGGGAGGCAGAAGCCACGGAACATTTCCTGGCTACCACATGTATTCCAGAGACTGGGCCAACCTCCTCCCAGACATCCTTTTACTTAATCTGCACCACACCCAAGCTGGTAGATTGTTGCTCCCATTGTACAGATGAACGCAAATAAACTGTGCTCCGTCCCCAAACCAGTAAGTGGTGGAACCGGACTCATTCTTAGAACCAGAAGCAAAACTGCTTTCCTTGAAGCCCATGAAATACTGTTTAAAAATCATCCCAATTGCTTTAGGTTCTGACATCACCCTGAAATATTACCTATCTACTTAGGAGGATACATGGCAAGGGGAAGGAAATGTTCCTCATACAAGGAAGAATGTGAGTAAATGACAAATAACTAAAGAAATAGGGACTTGAAGGGAGGGCTGTTTCTAAATGTGTAGTCATTCTGTGTCTTAGTCAGGGCACAGTTATTTGGGGTGAGTAATGAATTGTGACACCTAGCGGTACAGACGCTGTGCTCTGACACTGACTGCATGAACCAGTTTTAACTATGATGTTTGAGAAACACCTTCTTATGACGTGTCCAGTAGCTCTGGGCAGAAGGGGCCTACCCCACACTGAGCCATGGGTGGAGGCAGGGGAGGACACAGCAATTAGAAACAAGCCAGCAGGGCTTCCCTGGTGGCGCAGTGGTTAAGAATCCGCCTGCCCTGGTGGCCAGAAGGTGCAGGACTACAGGGCTCATGGCAGAATAGGGTCAGCAGGATGCCACTCACACTTCAGCTGGTTGCCCAGTATATAATAGGACTTTTCTCACATCTCCATTTCTTTTAGCCTTTTGATTGCCATCCTCAATATTCTTCCAAGGCAATTCTGGAATAAACACATTATGAAAAACTGGGCCTTTTTTAATTCCAGGAATCCCAAAGTCAACCCAGCAGCATATTAGGACTAGATGTGATTTCAAATAAATCCTTTGAAGGGTAGATAACATTGCCTCAGCCTTTCAGGGAAGCTGTGAAGACAGTGGAGGTTGCAGCACAGGAAACAAGGGAGCAGTGGTACTTATAGACATTGGTTATCAGCCACCATGGGATCTGTAAATTCCAAGATACTTCTGGGATATGCATATTCTCTGTGCATATAGATAAACCAGGTTTTGGCAGCCTGGGGGCAGCCATCTGACAGAGATGCAAGTGCTGGCTGCTGGGAGAGCAAAGGGGCTGTGATAGTATCTGTTATGCCACAGTTTATATAACTGTAAGTATATACGCTTTCTTTTCAGTTGTCTTTTCAATAAATGTATCTCCTTATTTAAAAAAATGGGCCACGGTGACTTTGCTTGAAGAGCTATATACTGTGGTGACATTATTATGGCCTTCTTACGCTACTACCTTTTCTCTGTAGTCCTTCTTGATCTCACATTCATAATATTGAGAAACATATCTCAGGAGGCCTGATGGTTTTTTTTTTAGTTAATTAATTAATTTATTTACTTTTGGCTGCATTGGGTCGTTGTTGCTGTGCGCGGCCTTTCTCTAGTTGTGGCGAGCGGGGGCTACTCTTCATTGCGGTGCGCAGACTTCTCATTGCGGTGGCTTCTCTTGTTGCAGAGCATGGATTCTACGCACGTGGGCTCAGCAGCTGTGGCTCGCGGGCTCTAGAGCACAGCCTCAGTAGTTGTGGCTCACGGGCTTAGTTGGTCCGTGGCATGTGGGATCTTCCCGGACCAGGGCTCAAACCTGTGTCCCCTGCATTGGCAGGCGGATTCTTAACCACTGCGCCACCAGGGAAGCCCCGATGATGTTTTTTAATTTACTAGAAGATATCTTCTGATAACCCCGGGCACAAAGACTGAACTAACATCTGGATGGATGGATGAGTTAACATTTTTTTGACTAAAAGATCCAAAAGATAGGGCAGGATCAATGAGATAGGCTGATCATATCTAAGAGAGGCCCAGTGGTTTATCAATATCATTTTCTTTCTTGGCATATCTCACTAAGCTCTGATACAAATTACTTAAGGTTTAATACGATGTCAAATTTATGAGTCTCCTCTAGAATATTAATTTATATGAAGTCACTGAATCATACAGTTTTGAAGTTAGAAGAAACTATGATGTTACTTAACTCAATCCTCTCATTTTAAAATTGAAGAACCCATAGTTGAAGAGATAAAGTATCTTCCCAGGAAAGTGTAGATTTAAAAATACGAAGGATGTTACTTTTGCTCAATTATTGCTCAATTATTTGCTCAATTATTTCCCTGACCCTTCTTCGTTACATGCTATTCAATTTTAATAGTGTTCCCCTCTGTCTTCCTGCAGTGTGAATATGTTTTTATATGGTAGGCACTTATGGCTGTATCAAAAAGAAAGTTCAAATCGTGTTTCAAGTGGCTGTGCATTATGTTGTAGCTTATACAGCTTTCTAGGGTATATTTTAAAAATTCCTTCTTATTCCATATTAGCTCATATGGTAGTATAAGATTGATCATTTGATTTTCTAAGTGGGTATAAAATTTTAAACATATACAGTGGTTCTAAGGAAAAGTACTTTTTTTTCCCCTTCAAAATTGTTCTTCATAGTGGTATGTGATCAGGAAGGCAAAAAATCTCAAATTTCTAAACAGCATACATGCACAAGAGGTCACAGTTAAGGTTACCTTTGGAGTTCTAATTCTG